TTTGCGAAAACAAGGTCAAATTTTCTCTTTGTTTAGTAAATTTTTGCTCTATTTCGCAAAGTATGGATTCTTGTTCTCAATATGCCTGTAAAGACGTTACGGACGAAATTAGCACAAGTTCGTCGGGGTCGTAGGACTTCTTCGTATAAGTGAACGATCTTCACTCATCAGAAATCCTCCTGTTCTTGGTGAGTCCAATGAACAAGTTCTTTTTAACCAACTTTGCCTTTTAAATGGAACGTCGTGTAATAATATACCACTAAGGAATTCTTCGAAACCCAGTTTTTCTTCAAATCCTCTGATTTGCTTTTCTCCCCTGATATTGCATCGTTCAGTGTCATCAGTTAAACACGGCTAATTTGACTGAAGCTACCAAAACTGTCCTGTTAAACTACTCGATGTATCCCCCAGGTCGCCTGCGACCTGTGCATCCAAGGTTTGGTCATGCCGTTGCTGCTCGGCACAACGAGGCCTGGCGCCATCTCGCGGTCCTGATATTGCCTTCTTCCGACGATCGCCTTTCATCATCACGTGACTCTGATTTGGACCAAATGAAGACTGACTCCAACGCCATTAGTGACAATCGTACTGGAGCCTTGGAGACGACACTCGTATGGGTGGCCAGTGCCAAACGTATAATTCAACTAGCCGTCTACACTAAACGAGGCGACAGCAGACACAACGACGATGTTAAAGTATGCTACACATCAGAATTGAGAATTGGGCGAAGTTTAGCCACTATTTACGGTCCCCATGCTGGTGAGGCAGAAATCTTCTGGCCTGATTTGGGCTCCCAAGTTCGTCCAAGTGCTCCGAAGCCCACGCAAGATATGAAGGTCAAAACAGATGGCTACGGGGGTCGAGCTGTATCATCGGTTCACGAGGAGCATCTGGCAGATGATAGGGGAGCCAGAGGTAACAAGAATCAGACTGGCTGGAGGAGAGTTCAGAACATGTACAGAATGGAGCAAATAGGCAAAGAGACAAAGGTGATCTGGGATGGAGACCGTATGATTTTGGATACGAAGCATGTAGAAGACGATTTTGGGGGAGAGAAAGAGGTAAATAATGATGGAAACCCAGACATAGATGTGCTGGATGAGGATGAGGAGGCTGATATAGAAGATGAGATTGAAAAGAAGCCGATGGAGCAGGATTCGGTGGCAGAACCTTTACGGCTTTATCGCATCAAACATGCCGAAAAGGATGGGAGCAGGGTCCCCTTACAGACCCAAATTGAAGAGTTGAGCGTTGACCTGATGCCTAAGCCAGTCGAAGAGATAACCGGCATCACCGTCAAGGTAAGCTGTATCTAGAACATTCGTCAGTCAAAATATTTATTTCCCTATATTCACGGTGAGTGGATTTCGATACTGTCAGTAGATCTTGATTTAACGCTGTAGTCTCCCTAGGTCGCATAATGCGATTAACTAGTAGAGATGAAAACCAAGTTGTATAGTATTTTTTTGATCTCTTTTTTGCAACTTGATTGGAGAGATAAGGCGATCTGGTCCTGACTTCTTCTCCATGAAATTTATGATGATTTCCAGATTGGATTTCGCCAGCATCGTAGTCGGCATTATCAATGAGAGCAGTGTTGCAACTTGCTCATTTATTTTTTTGCATCTAATATATAGTATAGGATTAATCATCCTGGTAGACTCTCCTTGCTGTAAATCATTACAAGACTGAATTTCCACTTTTACTTTAGAGAGCCAAAGTGGTGTTTTGATCTATTTTCACAATGTAATCGTATTTCCAGGTTAACTTCCAAATACTTTTATGTACGAATATATATAGACCAGTAAGACGTGGCCTTTTGTATACTTTTATGTAATTGATCTCCAGTATTATTTCTGCATTCGGCGATTGATTGAGTACTTACAGAGCTATTCGCCAGCGCCGATGTCAGTCTCGTTAATAAGTAGCGCCACCCTGAAAACCGAGTACAACTCAGAATGAAAGATAAAGTCCATCCCATTAACTCGTTTCAGTATAGTGGCTATGTGATCTCTCCTCCCTCCTGTACTGATTGATCATATTTTCTATCTTATATCGGTGCACCCTCCTCCCAAACTTTCACTACAATTGCCCAAAGTTTCTCTCTTCCCTACTTTGTGCCCTTGTGTGTCCTTTTGAGTGTGATCATCGAAACATATTAATATCCACTGCGGGTTTCCCATTCCCATTGTCGGGCTTCGAACTAGCCACTACACTCGACAGATCACTTCCCTATTGTCACTTTGATAAGTTATAACTCGGTGCTAAGGAAGGCGTCTCTTACTGATGATAGTGACCACGATACCGGCGAGACGTCTAGAAATGTATCAAGTAAACAATTCGATTCTGGAAATTTGCTTGCACACTATGGAAGAGGACGAAGGAATAACTAAGTTCCTCAAGATTTCCCTGTCGCTTCGACTAAGCTGCAAAGATAAGGTTATTAAAGACTGATAGTTAAATTGTCCTAAAATGATATAAGTTGGCCTCACGATACCATTAGGTCTCACCCAGCCTACCTCTGAAAATGTATTCACATTCAGGCTGGAGAGATATAACCCTACTTTCTTACGAATAGTTTTGACTAAGCCTGGCTTTCATCATCAGTCCCAGCATGGGTTGATACCGCGTGGCTTGAATAAAGTTGCGATATGATCATTTTAGTGGTAACATGAAGAAATTATACTTTGAATAATCCTGGTTTGATTCCCGTTTAGGATCAAAACTGCAGTACCCTATTAAGGAGAATACTTGTTAGGATGCGTGACTAAATTAAATTCAATGTAAAAGTGAAATCTACTCATTTACTGGTGGGAAAATTTAGCTATCATTCTTTAATCTCTTTACGCAACCTAGCAAGTATACATTATACTACTAATTACGATGGCACATCATCCATGGCTCTACTTGTAAGTATAGTGGCCCTCGGGTCGACATATTCCATAAATCAATATTATGAGATGATTTTTGCATCAACGTTCATACCATTATCTGCATAGCTTAAATTGACCCTAATTTGTAAAAAATACCGATAAATATAAATATAATTTCCATCGAAAATTATCAAAAATTTTTTATATTAGATGCTGATGTTAAGGACGCGGAAGACCTTATTTCCCTTTGAAATCGTAGCATGCAAAATATTCTCTATATTTATTTAAACTTATAGAAAAATTCACTATATAATATGGGAAAAGGCATAAACTTAATTATAATGAGTGTACGAAGGAAGAGTTTGCCTCTTCGACAATTCCACTGTAGATGTGATTTGGGAAAGGCTTGACTTGCCTTGAAGGTTATATCTCTCCCATGAACGATTGGCACTAGTGGCTGTTTAGTGGAGTGCCAACGATAGGTGCAAACCGGGAATACTGAGGAGATCCTTGAAGCGCATTCTATGCCAGCCTGACAGCATGCATACCAATACCAAGCATCAACGTCACGACGAGACATTGAAATGACAGACTCTTCAAAACTTTTGTCGAAGCTATAGTGATGGTAAAATTAGCAATAGAAACCAAATTAGCAGGCCTTAGAACATGTACTCTGTACAAAGATACAATCCGGATTTTAATATTTTCCTGACTAACACTTACTTCATTATAGTGTTTGACTAAGCTGTTTGAAAAAAGCGATATTAATGTAATAATATCTTGGTAGCGTTGTTATTTATAGACTTAGTATTTTGCTGGTTACAACTAAATGAAGAAATTGTTGAGCTTACTTCAATTTCGAGTGAAAGTGTTTGGTGAAGAGATTCCAATCGACGGCTGGTGAATAGGAATCCGCAGTCGTCTTCTGGTTAATTCTACCTTCAAATATCTTCACCAAACTCTTTCACTCGAAGGGGAAGTAAGCTCATCAATTATGAAACAAGAGATTACTCGAAACCCAACTATTCTTCGCATAAAGGAAGACAGACTGACTTTGATGAATCATTTCTTGCTTCTTAGCATTCCAAGAGGGCATCGTTATTCCGGATAACTAGCACAAATTTGGATACAAGAGCAGGTTTTACACCCAATATTTGGTAATAGGGCATAAATAAACTTCAACCCAATGTCCCTATTACAATTCACCTTGAACTAGACGGCTCCCCGGAAATTTAGAGGCGAAGTTAGATCCCTTTGATTGGAGGTTCAACCTAAAAGTGTTTGACTTTTAATATTGTCAAAATTTTATTTTCTTGGGAGTTTATTTCTATTTCAATTTATTATCTTGGCTAAAGCAGCAAGAAAACTTTAGAGGATGAAACTCGTAGTTGCCGCAGGCAATTCCGCTGGCAAATTGATTACCATTTACATTCTCAAAAGCTTAATTCTTGGTTTAGTCAGACCAGACAAATACGGTACTAGAGTACTTCTCATCAAAGTACCAGTCATTTAAACGATTCACACAAAATTGTATGCATATCAGATCAGACTTCACCTGTGAATTTGACGCTTTCATCAGAAGAAGTTGTTTGGCTCTTCTTATTGACAACGCAAATAACAACAGGAACGAAACTTTGGGGGGAAGGGCATTAAGCCATAGAAACTATGACTTAGTATAAGGTACGCTGTACTTTTACAGCGAATACAACCATGTTGTGGTAACAAAGTCAATCAGGTCAAAGGTCTCCATACATTTTGGGTCAGAACATAATGTAAAAATCAATAAACTAGCCAATTCTCCTAACATTTTGCAGTAGAGTAAAATAGGCTCTAAAATTGCTTCCTAAAGGGGAGGGGGTATTTTCTACTTTGCCATGCCAACCATTTTCTTATCTGTGTCCGCTTGATTCCGGGTTTGAGTCGCCGCCTCGATTATGCTACTTTTGTCTATGTGACCTAATATGCTTTGCTTATTCGGTAGGATAATGGGCATGTACCAAAGGGGATGCTATCGCTAATAGGGCGCGTGAAACGCTTATGACAGCATAATGAGTCCTTATTTTTCATTTAGTATAAGTTTTGACACATGGTGTCTCATACTTTTGTATGCCCACAATTCGTATTCCAGTCCTTCTTCCCTCGTATAATACGGTAGCAGTGAGTTAATTTGTAACTCTGTCACAGACAGAATGTGTCGAATTACTGGCACAAGTGCAAGAACAGACCTTGTTAAAGATGTGGTGGTGTGGCCTTTGGTTTGGTCGCCGTTTCCTATACCCCTTTAATATGAGTATGCTCCGGAATTCTCGATACAATTTGACTAAAGACGTTTCACCCTAAATCGTTTAAGGGCATTTATAGACTTTACTAACAATGACATAAGTAAGCCTCATGATGCCATTGAATTTCATTTTGTCTTGCCTCCCCGTCTGTCTATTGTTATATATTACTGTCACTGGGTCCCATTTCATTGGAAAGCTTATATAATTAGTTTTTGAGACTATCACTAATTAGTGAATAATGTCTTAGTTAGCTTAAGTCGTATAACGTGATTTAAGTACTATTATCTAATTTCCTCAAATAAGCTACCTAGGGTGTCTAAGCCATTATTCAATAATTAGGGATAGTCATGAAAACTACTTATATCAGAAATAAGTAACCTCACAGATTGCAATGGCGAATACAAGTTTAGCTAATCAACAATCCCAATATAAAAATGATTTAAGAGTGGTCTGTCTTGCCTTGAAGGTCGCATCTACACATCGACCCTATGGTATACATGGTTATGCAGTGTAGCAGAATGGTGACCTCGCCACGATACTCACTACCTGGTAACGATGCCAGCTAGGGGGCTGATGAGACTTACTGAGGACTATAATGCAATCCAGCCTGGAAAAGACAAGACTTAATCAAATGCAATGGCAGCATAAAGGCCTGCTCATTTCATTGTGGGGAAAGTTTAACTACCAATCCTTAAATCGTCTTAAGCAATCCAGAGAGCTTAAGCTTTTCTTATAGGAAATTTGGATGAATTAAATAGGAATGTGGAAAGATAAGCTAGTGCAGAGGTGTGGAGCAGAGATAACGCAAATTTTACGAATAAATGGGGTAATAAAGATTGAATTTTAACGTATTTCAGGCCGTTGCTAAGGCTGACTCTTTTCATTGACGACGCCCATTAAAAAGTCGGACAAATATCTCAGGTAGTAATCGGCTAATGGTCCGATGCTGGAATAGCACAGGATCGGGATAGAGGAGGACGCTTTCAGAAATATGCTCCTCGAAGTCTCTTCTAAGACATGACCATGTTGTGAAAAACAAAGCAAACCGAAGCATAGTTGTTATAGCAGATTGGACTACTATCAGGCACTCACTTTCAAAATAGTACCTCATACCACCCAGCTGATCGCCTATTAAGCAGGGTTGCCTATTACGTTTCCATGTCGGGTGAACTAAATGCACGGAAATTGTATGATCGTTAATGAGACTTTTTTATTATGAATGACCCAGACAAGGTAAATTCCTTGAGGCCCAGTTGGCAACCTACAAAGTAGCGTAAATACATCAAATCACTTGTCAATATGGACAACCATAAG